ATCAGGAGTTGTGTGGGAGGCAACCCACGAATGTTGTTGTTAATATTTTCGTATGTAACTTTCAAAAAAAAAAAAGTATCAGCACCGCGACCGCAGCAAGACCGCGGTAGAGCCCAGTATTCTGCCTCGAATTTGCTAGACTCACCGCGACCGCGGTGAGATGATATCATTCTGTCTCGAGGCATTAAGCCCACCGCGACCGCGATGGGACTGCGATAGTTCGGCGTTAGGTAAGTATTTTTTTTATTTTTTTTATTTCTTTTCTGTTTTTTTTTTATTTTATTCAATTTTCTTAACCCACCCCCTAATAATATCAAACCCCCTCCTTATGTCACCAAAACACCCGATCCCCTTCTATATTTCCCCATCTCTCTCTCTCTCTAAACCCTACCTCCCCAAATTCCTCTCTTCTTCTCTTTCTTCCTCTTCACTCATACTACTCCCTCATCTCCATTCCTCTCATCCCTTCTTCCATCAAGGTATGTCTCTTATACCCTCCCTCATCTTTTGTATTTTATTTTAGTTGTTATGTAGTTTAATGTTTGTAATTGTGTAGTAATATTTTGGTAGATTTTTGTTAGTTTTCTTTTGAAATTCGTTTTTCAATTTATTGGTGAAGGGGATGTGTGTATAATGTGGTGGAAAGGCGGAGGTTTGTGGGTGATTGCACAGTTTAAGTGTGGGGTGTGATGGTGTAGTAGAATCGTTGATTTGGGGGAAGCTTTGATGTATCCATATGGGCTATGTGTACGATGAAATTGTCTTGCCCACAAGGTGTTTGAGAAATTGACCCAATAGAGTTATAAGGGCTAATGTGACATGGTTGTGGTGAAGTCTGAGTAACCACCCATAGTCACACATTTCATACACTCACTAATAGGTGTTTCTCTGTTTGACAGGTAAAATGAGTTCATCTAGGAAGAGACGCAACGCTGGTTCCTCCGCTAGTGGACCAGTAAGCTCCTCCAGAGCTAGGGGCAAGCCAGTGCGCCACAGTTTGACAACACGAGGTTTGTCTCCAAACAGGCGGAGGACAGGTACAATGCAAAAGCAGCTAAGAAATTGCTACATGAGGTGCATATTGACCGACAAACCTTAGAGGTGGAATGCCCAAATATCTTCAATGAGTTAAGAAGGTGTCAGTTGGACATCTTCTTCGAGGTACCGGAGGTGGCTAATATTCAGATGGTCAGGGAGTTCTATGCGAACTGCCCGGAGCATAAGAATGGGGTTGTTACTGTGCGCAATACTCCGGTAAATGCATCCATTGAGGCCATCCGCATGGTATATCGGCTGCCAGTGTTCAGGGGAGAAACTGATGATTATCGTACTTTTAGCCGTACAAGTGCCTTGTGGGGAACTCTTCTTGAAACTATCTGTGTGTCAGACAGAGAATACATATGGATAAAGCCCAGGATCACACTTAACTCCCAGTCTCTCAATTGGGAGGCTAAGTGTTGGCTAACTATGATCAACAGTCGGTTGTTTCCTTCCAGCAACATGATTGATGTCAATCTACCACGGGTGTCAGCAATCTATTATCTCATGGCTCACACGGATTTTGATGTGGCCCGGCTCCTCCATGACGAGATGCTCATTAGATCACCTGAGTTGCTCAAAGGTTTCTACTTCCCTTCTCTACTCGCCAGGCTGTGCCGTCTTGCTAGAGTTCCTGAAGACCTTAGAGTTGATGGGAAACTACCACTAAAAGCCCCGTTCTTGGCAAGAAAAATCAGAATTAGGATGGAGCTGGCGGTGAATGTTGATGAATCAGATGATGAATCTGATGATGATGATGATGCTGAGGTAGCTGAGGTCCCACTACCTCCGAGAGTTGAAGAGGCAGGCCCATCACAGCCCTGCCGGAGTACCCGCATGACAGTTTTGGAGTAGGAGATGGCTGGGTTAGGTACCTCAGTCACTGATTTGGGTGCCCGCATAGACGCGGTGGCTGACCGACAGGTGAAGTCGAAGAAGAAATTCTTAGACTGGCTAAGAGCTCTGGGTCGTACTTGCAATGTGAACCCAGACACTGTCTCCGATCAGGAGTGATCTTTCAGAGAAGTTCCTTTACCTTACTGCTCTTGAAATTTTTATGCCATGAGGACATGTCTATATTTTAAGTGTGGGGTAGGGGATACTTCAGTGTATGTATGTATTTGTAACAATTTGGTTGTTTGATTTCTTTTTGTTGTTTTGCTTTGATTGTTTTTGGTGTTCGGAGTAATAGTCTCATTAGGTAAGTTAAAGTAGGTAAGTGACTTGTCCCGATGACGGATCTCTTTCGACGAGGTTCTTGAGGGACTAAGTCGAGAGAAAAAAAAACAAAAAAAAATATGAAGAATAAAGGACTTTTCCTGATGACGAATATTTGAAACAGTTCTTGAGGGAAGTTAGTCTAGAGAAAATACCAAAGAGATTTATTTTATTTTATTTTTAGGTAGTGTAGTAACCCCCCCTTGGTTTTTCTTTGGCCACGGTTCTTTTCCAAGGGTTTAGCTTCTTCTTTTTTTTCGCTAGGCAAGAGCCTAGGGCTATTTTTTTTATTAATGAAAAAGGAAATACCAATGGCTAGAGTTCTTGAATGAGTAAATGTAGTAATTGATAAGTGGTGGTTGTTACAATGGCACCTAATGGATGGGGATGTTGTAAATAAAAAAAGTGGTGGAGTGTTTGGTTGACATAAGTATGGTTTTGAAGGTTAATGTAATTGTATTAAAAGTGCTTAGGGAGGTTAGTCACTATTCCCAAATATATCCTACCCGTCCTTTAGCCTACATTACAACCAAGTAAGTCCTATTGATATTAGACTGAGCGGGCTCGATTAGTAGAGTAGTACACTACGGGCAAGCCTATGGTGCATCTCTGTGGCATGTGAATATTCTTTTTGAGAGTGAGCGAATTTTGTCTATCTAAGTTCCTAATTGTTCTAAATGTCATTATATGTGGAATTACTCTCTTGTGTGATATGAGGGCATGTGATTCACATGAGAAAGGTAAGTCTTGACTCTTGTATAGAGTAGTTTGAGTAAGTGCGAATATTGCATGGTACGAGAAATTCGACTTTTGAGGTAAATGTTGTTCACTACTAGGTGCAACTTTGGTAAATTGTTCAAGGTGTGAGTCGTTAAGGGAAGAGCTTAGGGAAGGAACTTTGATAGAGTGTGGTGGATTGCTAGAGGACTAGCAATGATTTAATTTTGGGGTGCTGATATTAGGCTATATAGATGATATTTACACCTTAATATTACCATGCTTTATTGTTGTTTTATAGGCAAATTGCCAACAAAATGCTCTAAATGGTATTTTGTTGTTTCGCAGGGAATATTCTAAGTGAGGAAGCACCACAGAGTGTTTTGGAGGCAATAATGTAAAGAAAACGCCCACTCAAGAAGTACCCGAGCACAAAGAAGCAAGAAAATGGACTGAGCAAATTCCACATCAAGCGTCAAGGCAGAATGCTCAGTGTTCACCGCGGTCGAGCCGCGACCGCGGTGCACTATTCACTCGCCAGGAATTTGGGGACCAAAGTGTAAATTCGGGAAAACTTGTTCCAAACCCTTATAAGTAGTAGAAACTTGCCCAAGATTGTGTTAAGCTTACTTTTAGACTACTTTGGAGGCAAGAACAAGTGTGAGAAGATCAGCCAAACATTAGAGTTTTTCTATCTCCTTTTATTTTCTTGCAATTACCCATTATGAATAATTTCGTATTTTTATCGTGTTTTGTCATGAGTAGCTAATTTCCTAGTCTAGGGTTTTGATGGAACCTATTGAAGGATGAACTTCTTGTTATGTTAATATAGTTTGCCAGTTTAATCTCTATTTGTTCTACTATGTGCTTGTTGTAGTTAATTGACAGGATCCTCAATTAGCTGTGCCTATTTAGTGTGCATAACTCGGGAGAGAGTGCATATTTAGGTAATTATTGAACAACACCACTCCCAAAGTATATGAGAGATCAATAACTGAGGGTTTAAAGGCGGGATTAGGGATAACGAAGCCTTGGGTGTAATCTAAAGTGAGCTGTAATAAAACGAAGCCAACTAGCGTAGCTCGGGAGAGTGCGTCTAGTAAATTATCGTGATTACTCGGGAGAGATTTACAGTAACAAGAGTGCTCATGATTGATAGAGACAATTATTGGGTGAATCTATGTGAAACATAACCGGAAGGGATTCCATCAATAGGGAAAATCATAACCTTAGATCCTCCTCTTAATTGTTTACAACTTAATTATAGTTAGTTTTCAGCTGCTTATTTACATTCGTTCTTAGTTAGTAGAAATACCTCCAATTGTTATTTACAACGTTTGGGAAGTTGATTCCGTGGAATTTAGTAAGTTTAACGAAAGTAATTGATAAGTTAATTCCTTGTGGGTTCGACTCTGGGCTAAATACTCAGATTATATTTGCAATGTCCGCATGTCCTTTTAATAAGGCATAGTTGGGCGTGATTACATGTGTAGATGACGATTGTATTAATAAAGAAATTTTTTATACTAAAGTTATTTTTTATTCATAAGACAAACCAAACGAACATTATTGAATTGGAATTTGCTTATCTAATAACTAAATGCAGGTTCTAGCAATAAGATATCTCATAACAAAATACAAATTTTTCACTTATAAAATTCTATTGAGTTTATTATTATTGTTGTTATTGTATATTTAAAAGACATTTAACTTTATCCTCCTCCTACATATGTATGGAAATACTAATTGAATATAACTTTATCGTTGCCGAATACATTGATTGTATTCTTCCTAAAAATACAATATTTGAAGCTTGAAAGACTCACTTGACGAGTATTTCAAATGAAATAATGATTCCTAAAATTCATGTTCATATGTAACTTTAATTCTAAGTATTAATTTTATTCGACTTCAAATATTATATTTTTTTAAATTTCAATCAATACACAATGGCTACTTGAGTGAAAAATGCTAGGATCTCGGGTTGGCTTTCGGGTCAAAGCAGGATTTAAAAAGGCTAAACCCAACCCTAGGTTTTTTCTACGCCTTCTCACTACTTCACTTTGCTCCTCAGTCCCCTGAACTTACACAGTTTAACCATGGCAGAAACAGAACCTGAAGTCGCAGCTGCCCCCGCCGCCGAAGCCGTAGCACAGGCGGAGAAAGAGGAAATCCCGGATCAGGATATGGACATCGAAGCTCAAGCTGCCGATGATGCGGCGGAGAACGGCGGCTCGAAGCGTCCAAGGGAGGAGGATGGAAAGGAGTCGGAGAATGAAGACGCCTCGAAGAAGCTGAAGGTGGACAAGTCTGTGGAAGAACAAAGGCTCGAGAATTTAGACGGAAGCGAAACGGCTGTAGATGAAGAAAAGAAAAACGGGTCGGGTCCGGCTAGCGTGGGTCCGAAGAACTTCGGGTCATCAGTAGAGATGTTTGATTACTTTTACAAGCTTCTTCACTCTTGGTCTCCCAATCTCAACCTCAACAAGGTAATAATACATTTGATTAGTACTAATATATTTGAGTATTGGAATGAAATGGGTAAAAAATTTATAGGTGACTATTTGATTACCCTGTATAGCAAGATTTGGTTTGTACGGTGTTTCCGGGTCTCTGGTTTTAGTTTATCATATATTGGCTGAAAAATGTTGGATTTATTGGGAGCAATTTAGGGTATGTTACATGGAATAGTCTGAAAGTGCACTTCTTTAGAGCATTAAGCTGCACTATATGTCTTGATCAGTGAGTAAATTGCAGTATGTTGTTTAATGTGTGTCTTGGAAGCATAAATTGGGTTAGTTGTTTATTTGTGAGTGATTAGTTATCTCCAGGCCTGCAAAAAGCTGCTTGAAGGCTAAAGCATCCGACATTTAGGTGGATGTGATGGTAGATTTTTTTTTTGGTTAGCGTATATGTCTATGAATATAGACTTAAGAAGTATTGATTAAAGCAACCAGTTTCTTGTAAGATGTGAACCATGTAATAGTCATTGTGAGATTTCATAATTGCACCTCTCCTATTGCCCACATATGTATTTGGCTTTAGCAAATATTACAACAACAAACCCAACGGAATCCCACAAGTGGGGTCTGAGGAGGTTTAATGTGTACGCAGATCTTACCTCTACCTTATGAATGTGGAGAGGCTGTTTTCAATAGACTCTCGGCTCAAGAAAAGTAAACGGAAGCAATAACCCATTAATCGCAACAACAAGGTAAAAGGCAGCGGAAGCAAATGGCAAAACATGTAATAACCAAGATCAAGGAATACGAGAATACAAGACTAGTGCCAACTACTGGTAATAGTATAGTGACGCACCGTGTAATAACTAGGAATAGGAAAATACAAAACTAGTGCAAATACGGTTTTAGCAAATATTAAAAGGTAAAATTTGAGAATGTTATGTTATATTGGCCCATTTGGTAAATGATGGTTGTATTATGTGAAGTGAGTTTTGGATGGTAAAATTGATGTATGACCTCCATGATCAAGTAAAGTGTTTAGATTCCATTGCTTGGATAACTTTTTGCCTTCTTTTTAATGGTCTTAGTATTGATTATCAATTGTGTCCTAAGTTCAAAGATGCTGACCTGTTTTGGCTTTGGGTGATCTAATTTGGTTGGTTAGATGCTCCTCACTTAAAATGTATCTTTGCTTTCTGATTTTTTTTTGCTGCTTGACTGTGTTTCCCATCTGAAACATGGGATTGTTGTATTTGAATATGTTCATCTGGACTCAAGATGATCATCAATTGGTTGTTTATTATGCATAGTGACTTTTATTTTGTACCATCCAGTTTTTACTGTCGTTTTGTCATACCGTCATACCGATCAATTTGTGGTTCTCTTCTGATTCTCAATCGTCAAAGCTATTGTTTCTCAGACTCCAATTCTCTTCATTGTGCTTTCATTGCCTATTTTATTGTATTCTATCTGCATCTAAAAAAACTGTGAAGTGAAAAACTGTACGAGTTATATAAGTCACACTTTAGAATTATTACCATACAAGAATATGAACTATTATCTGTAAGCATTCATGGATTTACATGTGCAGTCAACTAATGGAGTATGAAAATGCTAAGATGGTTTATAAGTCATTATGAATAAAATTAGAGTACTTGATATGATGGTGATCACTTGTATTTTGTTTGTTGCGCGTTGCAGTATGAGCACTTGGTTTTGCTCGACTTGCTCAAGAAGGGTCATTTAGAACCAGACAGAAAGATTGGTACAGGAATTCGGGCGTTCCAAATCCGGTTTCATCCTCAGTTTAAAAGTCGCTGCTTCTTTGTCATTAGGGAGGATGGTTCTGTGGATGACTTTAGCTTCAGGAAGTGTGTTGATCACATTCTGCCCCTCCCAGAGAACATGCAAGTAAAACATGAAGCTAACAAAGCTTTGGCTCACAGCGGGAAAGGCGGTGGAAGGAAAGGAGGTGGACATGGGCGTGACCGTGGGAATGCAGGGAAGTCAAGATATTGAAAAACAGCTTCATATTTACCAGAATCGACTGCGTGTTTTGCACGCAGCTTCATATTTTGGTCAATACAGCTTTCTACTTGCAGTTTTGACATAATGATTTATGGCTAGTGAAGTTACATTACTATAAGGGGTGCATAATTCAGATTTTTTTGTTTGTTTGGTATCACATATAGTCTTTCCAAAATCTGCGTTAAATTGATGGAATGTGTGCTATCACCCGATGTAGCTGTCATATGAAGACTGTTTTAGTCAAATTCTTGTCTTGATTGTCCCCTAAGATGAATTAAACCAAAGAGGGATGAAGTGGGTAAATAGGTATTAAATTCATGGAGAAAAAATGGTATAGGAAAAATTTAACACCCTTCTGGTATAATCTTATGAGACAGGCCTAGTTTGACTCTACATTCGAACACGTATTATCTGTTTCCAATATTGATGAGAGAAATGACTGCCAAAACTCAGTAATCTCCACTGTTAAATCCTACGAAGGCTTAAACTCAAAACTATTATTGAACTAATCTGCAGATGCCTGATTCATTTGAGTTCTTACAACTACTTAAACACATCGTTCACTCAATATTTGCTTTGTCAATCAGATTCATTTTTATACCAATGGGTTTCAGGTTTACTCTTTAATAAAAATTAAGCCCACCTATACTTTTAAGTTATATTATAAGACAATTTTGGTCTGAAAGCAGTATTGCTTTGTGAATAGGAGTAATAGTTACGCATTTACAATTCAAGTTTGACAATGTTTTGGCGCACTTAAGAGTGAAGTTTGAGCAACAATATATTGGTCACATTTACCCTTCGTTATACTATTGGGTCAAATTTAACCTCACCATTAGCAAATTTTTCAAATTTACCCTCTAACCTGACGGGAAGCACCAAAAATCCCTTTTAATTTACTGCATTTCTTCCTCACAAATCAGTCATCTCCTTCGTGTGATCCACCGGAGAAAAAAAAAGGTCCATATTAAAAATTTGAGTGTGAAGTTACAGCATAATTTCCCCCCTTGTCTTTGGTTATACTCAAACCATAAATGAAAGGCAGAATTCACAGTTTATTGGTATGTCTCCAACGGAATGAGGGTGTGTGAGATACCGTAGATAATTTGGTAAAAATTTATTTGATTCTTCGGGTGGCTGAAATACATTTGCTTATGAAGTTGTTACTAATATTTACTACTATCTTTTATGAATTACAGGCATAACAAGGTCGTAGGTATCCATGTAAATGCATTTCCTTTTGAATTTGGATTTGGCATGTCATTTGATGCAAATTTTGCCGGCACAAGCACTTTTGCATGAATTTTGTGACATATGATTCTGTAGTATTGTCTGAGAAATTCTAAATTAAATGATCTGTTTATATTTATGTTCAACTTCAGAACATACTTTCAAAGAAATATTTACTAGTATTCTCATGCCTGGAGGTGGCGAGTTTGGAAAGTCTTCCTGCTCTAAATAATCAAGTGGAAGAAGAAAGCAACTTGTCAAGGATATTTTCTTCTCTGGTAGAGTACATGTAGGAGATAACTAATTTGTGAAAAAAAAATTGTAGTAGCAAATAGAAGAAATTTGGGATTTGGGGCTTTATGTTAGATTAGAGGGTAAATTTGAAAACTTTGCTAATGGTGAAGGTAGATTTGGCTTGATAGCATAATAGATGGTAAATATGAATTATATATTAAAGTAAAGGGATATATTTGACGCTTTTTCAAAATTTAAATGAGCAGATATTGATGGAGCTCCTAAATTAAATTTAACTAAACAAACCTACTGAACTAACTATGATAAACTATAGTCGCTGGTTTGCTTGCCTAACACTTTGAAAATGCAACAGGTTCAATTTGGCTGTATGTATTTCTGAAACTCTGGTATTAAGATTTTAAAACCAGAGACTCTCAAAGGGCCTTAAAAACGAATATGATAATATAGCTTCTAGAGCAGCTTGTAAATACATCTACAATTTAGAGATGATGCAGCTGTTAGGATAAAAAAGTCAGGTGTCATGCGGAAGTTAGCAAAACAACATTTGAACAACGATAAACCAGACGACAAAGAGTAATATATCAAAAGAGACATAAATATTTAATGTGGTTCGTCAACTGACCTACGTCCACGACAGAGATGAGCAATCCACTTTATAAAAAGAGAGTACAGAATATCGAGAGAACAACCTCACGAAGAGGCAAATACAAGTGACACTCTAACACTTGTCCCATAAAGTTCTCCCCTAAACACGACTTTCAAACCCCATATGACTACATTGTGGATGTTACTGAATGAGAATGAAGGATAATCAATTTATAGAAGTTCAAACCTTTTCCTATAAGAAAAGGGACTAGCTAAATATGGAAGAATTATATTTTCCTTCTGGGAAAAGAAAAACCCAATTATGGTAAATATGTTGTCATTTCCTTCATGAGATAGGAAAACCAATTATGATAGCAAAATCTGGACAAACGCCTAACAATTCTCCCCCTTGGTCTGAATTTTCTGACAAAATAAATTTGATCCACCTTCTTCACATAGCCTTTAACAGGTCGCATCTCCAAATCTCCACCACAAAGTTTGTCTCAACGTGCGTAGCACAACGGTCAAATTTTTCAGACAAAAATCACGATTATCGTTAAATATGTTACGACTAGACCTAAACCCGCCAAGATGAACCTATCTTGATCCTTGCTCCAATACCACTTGTTAAGACTGAAAAAATCAGGTGTCATGCGGAAGCTAGTAAAGCAACACTTGAACGACGATAAGTCAGACGACAAAGATAAATATACCTAAAGAGACACATCCATTTAACGTGGTTCGGTCAACTGACCTACATCCACGGTGGAAATGAGCAATCCACTATATAAAAAAAGAGTATAGAATATCGAGAGAACAACCTCATAAAGAGGCAAACACAAGTGATACTCTAACACTTGTCCCGTAAAGTTCTCCCCCTAAACACGACTCTCAAACCCCATATGACTGTTGTAAAAATTGGATGATTATGAAGAATAGAAGGTTTAGCTTGAGGCGTGTTAAAGATACTGTCCTTAAGGATATTTCACCTACACCGAGATGAATATTATTAGGCATATTCCACAGGATTCAACAAGCAATTCTAGTATAACTAGGAGCAGAAACAATAAAGATTATATAAAAAAAACCCACCACAAAAAAAGGGACGAAAAGTTTTTAACTTTATTTTTCACACTCCAACCCTGAACACAAACACAAGTAGATGGCTTTATATATAGTCCAAAGAAGATACATCATTCATGAAAGAAATGTTAAAAATTTAATTTCAAAAATTCAATGGTAAAACGGAATTTGAAACCAAAATGGATTATTAAGAATTCAAATCCAAGAATTCAATTCCAAAAAAGAAACTGTTATAACCATTCCCTTTAAAAGTTAAAGGAAATTATTATCACATTTAATATTAGCAAACAGACAAGACCTTTAGTCGATTTTAAGATTACAAAAAATATAACTGATTTCAATACCCATTCAATGTTAATAAATATTGAGATATTAAAAATATTAAAATATTCATTCTTTTTGAGATATTAAAAATATTATTTTTTATACAATCCTCCACGTAGATCAAAAAGAATATCATAATAAAAAAAATTCCTGGGTCTTCACAAATGAGCATAACGCGTTGCATCTGGTATCTCTTAGACTATGAACCAGACCTAGATAAAATAAGATTAAACTTACTGACTAATTGGTGAAGTTCAAAACTTCTATGAACTAAGAATTCTTTTGTAAGTTTAGTGTCTTATCTATCACATTATACCCCCCACACACTTTGTTGTTTATCGCAGTTTTGCGCTTCTAAGCCATGCACGTGCCTGGTTTTCATGAGTGCTCTAGAAATTTTTTGCCATAAATTTCATAGGAGTGACCCCACTCCACACTTATATAGGTCCATCCATCAAGTGTATTCTGCAGCGCAATACACTACCTAAAATTAGGCTATGGATTAGATTAAGAGTTTAATAACTCAGTCTCCCATTCCTTGCAGTCTTGCACTATATATGCACACACCATAGGAAGAGATATAATTTAATAGTGCACATTTGATCAACTAATAACTTGTTATTACCCATATGAACCTACTTTATGGAATCTTCAATCACATAGGTCGGGTTACCATCATAGTTGATATAACTCAAATTGGCAAAAGTTCCATTCCCCTTGATGTTTCAGATATTAATTTTCTTCCCAAAGGTTTAGTCAGAGGATCGGCCAAATTCACTTCTGACTTCACATAATCTATGAAAATAATTCTATCTCTCAACAGTTGCTTTATCACATTATGTCTCAATCGGATATGTCTACTCTTCCCACTACAGATTTATTTTTGGCAATAGCTGTTACAGCTTGGCAATCACAATGCATCGATACAGAAGGTATCTGTAACAACCCGAATTTTCGTTCTAAGAATTAGCATTTTTGTTCAGCGGCTTAAGACCTTAAGAAGCTTCGTAATATGTATCATGAACCGCATGTATGGTCGAGTTTGGTTTTCGTAAGATTCGGAGTTAATTTAAAGAAAAAACAAAATCTTATTTTTGAAGCTCAAATGGAAAGAGTTGACCGGAGAGTTGACTTTTGAGTAAACGACCCCAAAGTAGAATTTTAATGATGTCAATAGCTTCGTATGATAATTTCGGACTTAGACGTGTGTCCTAATTTGGATTCGGAAGTCCATAAGACAATTCGGCGCATTTTGGCGAAGTAAGAAAGTTGATGTGTTCTAATTATATTATTTTATATGTGGAAGAGGTCTATTAATATGATGAATACCAATTAGATATGATAATAGGTGTACGAGGCATATTAGAAGAGATATGGGGTCTAAGGAAAGTCCTAAGTCTAAGCCAAGTTGGAAAATTTCGTAATAGACTAAAGTTGCAAATGAGTACGCACAAGACCTCACTTTGGACGATAATATCTA